CTTGCAGAAAATGAATAATGTCGTGGCTCAATACCAACAGATTAGTGAATGAATTTACATGTGTGCATTCTAAGTAAAACTAACGCATTTAATCTATGTGTATATATTCTTTCTTTTTGAGACAATGTGGCCCTGGCTGGCCTTGAACTCACTGTACAGACCATGCTGATCCTGAAATCACAGATAGTTACCTGCCTCTGCCTCCCAAGCGCTGGTAAATGTATTTTGATCAGTCCAACAACCTATAATCCAAGCATTTGGAATGCTGAGGCAGGAGGATTGTTGTGATTTTCAGGCCAGTCTGGGAAGTAAGACTCTGGGGGGAAAAATGTGAAAAAGTAAATAAAATGTCCAAGCAAAAGTCCTGCCACAGACATTAAAAACAACCTTGACTAAACCTATATGCTAGATTTGGAACAATTAAAAATTATCACTACCGTGAGAGTGTGCGCCTCCAGAGACAAACTGTGTTCTTTTTTTTTGTTTTGTTTTGTTTTTCGAGACAGGGTTTCTCTGTGTAGCCCTGGCTGTCCTGGAACTCACTCTGTAGCCCAGGCTGGCCTCGAACTCAGAAATCCGCCTGTCTCTGCCTCCCAAGTGCTGGGATTAAAGGCGTGCGCAAACACTGCCCGGCGCAAACTGTGTTCTTAAGAAGAATCCTGGCTCTGTCCCTTCTGCTTCTGGAGAGCAAGCCTCTTAAAACGCTCTCTGTGCCTGTCCCCTTCCTTGGCTGTCACACTCAGGGCTTCATCGGGTTCTGAATATCAAGTGATCATCTGACACCATGGAGTGTGGTATTAATGTGTCACTTCTTACTGTCGTCGTCATTATCCATGTCTATTTTACATTTCATTTATTAGTGTTTGTATGTGTGCGCGTGCATTGTGTGTGCGTGTGCGTGTGTGTGGTGTGCATGTATGTGTGAGTGTGCGTGTGCATGTGTGAGTGTATTGTGTCTGTGACTGTGTACGTGAGTGTGCATGTGCATGTGCATGCATGTGAGTGGGTGTGTACATGTGTGTGTGAGTATGAGTGTGTGTGTGCCTGTGCATGCATGCGTGTGTGTGTGTGTGTGTGTGTGTGTGTGTGTCTGTATGCACACATACACAGGGGACTCTGGAGGCCAGAAAAGGGAGTTGGATCCCCTAGAACTGGAATTACAAGCCGTTGTGGGCAGCTCAGTGATGTGGGTGTTGGGACTCTTAACCACCGAGGCCTCTCTCCCACGCCATGCTATGGTCAGTATTGCCATTATCAGTTGCATCAGACATTTGAGGGGCTCTGATCCCCCAAACTTAGAACAACACGTTCTTCCTTTTTCTTCTTCTGGTGCTAAGGATTGAACTCAGAGCCTCTGCATGGGAAGCTGAGGTCCTACCCCTGAGCTCTGCTCAGTCTCAAGCAGGACTTTTTGGTTTAAAGGTATAGACACCACGCGCTGATGAATTTAGAGGGCAGACGAGCCCTGCCCGGGACTAGTGCTACACAATCCCCACTGTTAGGAGCCGCGTCCGCCATTGCAAGATGGCGCCGGTTTCCTGCTTCCTGGTTCTTCTTGCGAGCCTTGCTTGAATGTGCGCCTGCACAAGGCTCGAAAAACCAGTATGCTAATTTGGCGACATCATAAGAGCCAATGAGTGTGTGGCACGTCTCCTAAAGCTCTATATAAGCCATAGACTTTTGGGGCTTGGGGTCCCTCGCCTCACTACCATCTAAGAGAGCTGTAACACTACCATCTAAGAGAGCTGTAACACTAAAAGAGCTATAACAATAAAACTGCTGTCAGAAGAATCCTGAGCGTGGCGTTCTCCTTTTCGGCGAGGCAGCGCCCCGCACCCCACACGGCTAGAAATTGAAGCATATGTTTGAGGAACAGAATTTGAACCGAGAAAAAGAATGACTGCCACTTCAGAACTCCAAAAAAAAAAAAAAAAAAGTTTATTTATAAAATACTGACAGTTTGACAGGACATGGGACTTCTTGTGGTATATATTTCAAATCAATTTCTTTCTTACCTCTCATTTAAAAAATAAACTTGCTAACAAGCTATATGACATATAGATATATATATATATTTTCTTACAGATAGACACCTGCCATAATGAATACTCTCCCTATAATTTTTCATTATAGCTTTTAAATCAAAAAAATAAAGATTTGTACCGAGTTTTGTTCTGGGAGTCTATATGGGTGGAGGAAGGTAACACACTTAAATGCTTTGGATTTTGTTTTTTATGAAAACAGAAAGGAGGGGGTCGTCCCAAGTGGGTGGGGCACCTGTGCTCGAGGTGTTGGTTAGGGTGGGTGTCCCTGTATGGGACCACAGAGGCACTCAGGAGCTGGTGGTGGCTGTCTGTGGGTTCCCTCTTTTCCCCATTGATGGCCCAGCTGGCTGGCTGCACACTGTGGCACCTTCACTGTGTGCCACTCGAGAAGGCGAGGGGAGCCCCTGCCTAGGGCAGCCTACTGTGAGGTTCTGGCACCTTTAGAAATGCTGTCCAGGGCAGGTGTGGACAGCAATGACAGAAGGCCTCAAGAAGCAAGGGCTGGCAAAGCAGCCCAGCTGTGTCCTTGTTCCCTCTGACTCACGGCAGTGTCAGGTTTGGGGAGGAGTGGGGGAAAGGAGAGGCAGCAGCATGGGTTTGTAAACTCCCGAAGCTCTCCGGAGGAAGATGCTTCTGGAACCCAGAGCAGAGCGGCTATTTGGTTAGTCTTGGCAATCTGGGTGCAGAGCCTGCAAGGATGCAGGAGGCACTGCCGGGAGAGAAGAGCAGCCCCAGCATGCTAAGTGTGTGCTCCTGAATACAGGGCAGGTTTCCTCGGGGCACAGAGAGGCAACAGCAAGAGGGCTAGGTGTGTCCGTCTATTTCCATAGAGTCACAAGACAACAGCCCTGGCCTCATTGGTTCAGGAAATTGATAGCTTCCCCTTACCCAGGGTTGGTGTCTGCCATACCCTTAGAATGTGTCGGGGTGTCTGGGTGGAGTTCTTGGGATCCTCCAGTGCCCAGCAGAAATGTAAACATAGGCCAAGAGATGTCATTTAACAACCTAGAGTTCCACAGCTGGAAACCTACTGGGTGTCCAGCCATGGCTGGGGGCTGTGTAGGCAATAATTCCCACCCCCCTCCCCCCCAGACAGGTAGTGCCTAAACGGAAGGCTCTCACTGAGGCTCATCTAGGAGTTGTAGCTTGTAATATGCTCAGCTGCTTGAGTAATAGGTCCCACTAATACCCCAAGTGCAAGTGACCCAGGCCATCCATGCCTCATGGGGATAAGGGACAGCCAAGGGGTCATCAGAGGGCATGACAAGAGCCCCTTTGTTAACACACATAGATGTATGTTCTGTGCATATCTTTATATGCTTGTTCATAAGCACAAGTTTGCCTGTGCACATGGATGCCAGCAAGGGTTCCAATGAGCACACGGGAGGGGGAGGGGATCTCAGTGCACAAGATGATTCATTAAAGGCAAAGGAAAATTGGCCTCCTGTGCAACACCACACACACACACACACACACACACACACACAAATGATTTTTTTTTTTTAAACCATTCCCACTTCCACTTTAAAGCTCCCTCACTGGGCTGGGCTAGGCTGGGCTAGGCTGGGCTAGGCTGGGCTAGGCTGGGCTAGGCTGGGCTAATAATTCCCTAATGTAAACTCGGAACATCCTTAAATGGTTAAAGCCTCCAAAGACAGGAAAAAAAAAAAAGATGAAATTGTTTTAAAAAGACATGAGGGACGGACAGTGAGCGTGGCAGTGTGAGCTCATGCAGCCTCTGCAGATGTGTGGCTCTGGAGATGCCAGATGCTGCGGGAGGGTTGGGGTCCAGCTGACTGACAAAGTTCAAGGTAGCCCTGGGAAACCTGTATCCCTGGAGGGGCAAGGTCTCTGCCCTTTGTTGTCCTTTGGGGACAAGGCTGTGCTTCCTGGCTTAGGAGCCTTTGCATCTGCCTAAGAGAAGTCACCGTGAAAAGCTACTGTTCACACACAGCAGTTGGGTCACTTGCCTGCTGACCTGGCTTTCCGGAACATCTCCTCACTCACATATCCCAGGGTTCAGGCGTGTAGGAGGGTGCCCACATAGTATTCACATGTGTTCTTTACTCAGGCCCTGACCCTGGCTTCTCTGTCCAGTGAGAATTAGCAGCGACTAGCAATTGCTGAGAATGGCTATAGGCTTTCCGCCCAGGCCTCTCAACAAGGCCGGCAGTAAATGCTGCGTAGATTCCCAGCAAGTCTGGTTCTTTATTGAATTGGACATGCCCCAGTGAAGCCTCTGAAGGAGGCAGCCATGCATTCCCAGCAGTAGGTTGAGCCTTGGGCTGGTTGATGTCCCCGAGGGCCTAAGCCAAGCCAGGACATCAGAAAACCTCCTCCCCAAATCCTTGTGTTGAAAGGCCAAAGCTGATGAGAAGTTCAGGCCCCTGTGGCTTTCACAGAATATTCTTGGGAGTAATAGCTTTTCCCTCCCAACAGCTATTCTCGTCCGTTGATCCTATCTGACCTGCCTCTCCTAGCTGGACTGACCACACATCTCAACTGCTGTGTGCAGTTTGGACAAAGCTTCCTGGTTGGCCCTTCTTTGGTCCTTCCCAGCTCTGCCTTCACTGAGTCCCACCTGGAAGATGTTAGAGGGAGTTGAAGTGACCTTTGATTCTTTACAAAGCCTCAGGACCAGGGACTGGACCACCCCTCTGTGTGTTGTGGATAAGAGACAGAGGGTGGGGTGGGGTGGGGGGTGGGGGGACCGTTCTTAAAATAAGAATGTGGTTGAGCAAAGGAGTCCCATGGTATCCTCTTAAGAGGGGCCCCTGGACCCTTTTTCTTCCAAGTTTATGGGGCAGATGCATGGGCTAGCAAGAAGGTATACATTCAGAGGAAAGTGGTATTCTGAACATACAACCTTCTTCCTGTGAGGCTAGGTGGGCTGAGCCTCCTATCCGAGGCACTGCCCCTCAATCCATTTCCTTCTCTTAGCATTGGGCAGGTGGATCAGAAGGAAACAGTCAAGGCTTTATCCTTGCATGTCTGATTTCCTGCACCCCTTAGTGTGGAGCCAGCACCTTGGGTCTCCATTCCCCAGATATTACCTCTCCTTATCAGCATTCAGGATTATGTGGCTGTGGAGGGATTCTTTCTCTCCCAAACCTTAGGCCCTCTTCCTTGAATTCACAATTATTAAAAAAAAAAATTGTTTTGTAGGAACAAGGAAGTTGCTAAGTGGATTCTTACCATTTGATTTTTCTCCTCCCTCTCCCCTTCAAAAAAATAAGCCAAATGCTTGGTGAAGAAGTTGAACACTTGGAGGGTGCTAAGGCAGGGCAGCAGGGTGACAGGGCCATGGGACACCTGACAGGAAGAGCCAAGAGCCAGATACAGCAGGCAGGCTTGGCCTCTGAGTGCACCCATCCTCTTTGCAGAGGGGCAAGAACAGCAAGCTCAGGAATCCAGCACAAGTGTGAGGGGTGAAGCCGGCTAGCTGCGTCTCCAGAAGCCTTCCCATCCCTCAGCCCCACGTGCCTTATGGCTCCCTCTCTCCAGGGTCCCAAGCCCCTCTGTCGTCGACAGAAGTGAGACTATCTGGTCTCCAGCCCTCCGCACCGCAAACCGGACCCCAAGGATGTGAAGCCACTGCAGGTCACATGTGTCCAAGCCCTCCTGTGGGTTTCTTCTCCCTCTGCCTGTCCTCCAACCCGGCTTTGCTGGCCCTGGAATCTCTGGAAAAACAAACTTGGGAGGTGAAAACTTGAGTCGATGTCTTGGTGGGGTTTTCTTGTGTGTTTCTGGCAGGCGTTTTGGGAAGTGGCAAAGGAGGATTTTGGTGTCTTTTTTTTTCCTTCCCCCATTCTTTCTCCTTTTTTGATGTCAAACAAAGGATGAGAACCCAGCTATGGGTGCCCGGGAGCCCGGGGCAAGGCTGCTGGGGGGACGGTAGAGGGTGCTCTGCTGACTTGGGGGGTTTGGGGGGTTTTGGGGCGTTGGAGTCCGGCTGGCCTTGGGCCGGAAAAGGCTGCCTTGCTGGGTGCTGTTGCTGTTGGGGACAGTGACGTGGTCAGGTTCGCCGGAATCGCTCTCTGTGTAGCTGTAGGCCTGGGCCCGAGAGATGCCTTTCTGTTGACGCCGCCAAGAGTTGTAATATGTGGGGTCACTGATGTAATGGTTGACGAATGAGTGGGCTTTCTGGGTGTTCGTGTCCACTTCGTACTCGCTGTCACTCCCCTAGGAGGAGAGAATCGGGGTGATCTCAGGGGGTCAAAGGCACGGAGCATTCTGGCTCCGTTCTCTGCTCTGCCTCTTTCAGGACTAGATCGCAACCCCTCACTACCACAGTGTCTAAGCATTTTGTCAAGCTCCGCCCCACAGTTACCTGGCACCGGCCAGGTATGCCTGACTCACTATAAAAGTGGTTGCTTGCCCTCTCAGCTCTCTCTTGTTCTCGCTCTGTCCCCTCGCCCCTTCCCCCCTCTCTCCCATTCACCTCCCCCCTCTCTCCACAGGCTCTCCTCTTCTCTCCTCTCTCTCTCCCTCTCCCCCTCTCCCCCTCCCTCTCCACCTTTCCCCCTCTCCCCCTCTCCCCCCCCCACTCCCTTTCCCCCTCTCCTCCTCTCCCCCACTCTCCCTCCCCCTCTCCCCCTCTCCCCCTCCCCCTCTCCCTCTCCCCCTCTCCCCTTCTCCTCCTTCCCCTCTCCCTCCCCCTCCATCCCTTTCCCCCTCCCCCACCTCCCTCACCCTCTCTTTGCCTCTACTATTCTTTCAACTCCCCTCCCTGCGCCCTGAATACACTATTCTATACTATATATAGAATATATATAGTATATATATATATTCAGGCTGGTCTTTGAAGGGGAAGGGATGCCTCAGTGTGGGCCCGTAGAGGCACCCTCTTCCCACACTTGAATACACCTCCACCAAACATATTTCTTTCCTCTTCATCTTTTTAATAAACACAACAGTGTCCCTTCACATCGACTTCCCTCTTTCCTCAGGGAGAGCCAGTATGAGATGATGACCAATGAGCCGTCAGAGCATGAAGGCACGTCTTTTTCTCTTTGTGATACTATGGCTTCACCCATGCCAGGCAAGTGTTCAACTAGTGAGCTACCCTGTACCCCGCTTTCTAGTTTTTTTCCCCCCATTTTGAGACAGGGTTTCCCTAGGCTGGCCTTCAACTCACTATACTGGCCTTCATCTTGTAATTCTTCCTGCTTGGCTTCACGATAGGTAGGATTCCATAGGACTGAGCCAGACCTACACAGTCAAATTTTAATCTTTACTCTTCCCAGTTAAAATAAAATTCAGTCAACATAAAGCCAACCATTTAAAAGTGAACAATCCAGCACTGTTCTGTCTCTGTGTGACCCTGAACCTATTAAGCCCCCCACCCCACCTCCAATACACCCACACATCTATTTTCTGTCTTCAGGAACAACCAGTTCCGATTCTTCACCCAAAGGGGTGTACATTATATACTTTCTGTCTAGCGTCTTCTTTTTGTTTGCTGGTTTTTGAGACAAGAGCTTGTTTGTCAGCCCGAGATGGCCTATAACATACTATATAGCCCAGGCGGCCCTCAAGGCTGTGACAACCCTCATGCTTCAGCTTCCTGAGTTCTTGGAATTACAGATGCCATACCCACCTGTGTCTGGTGTCCTTGACTTAGCACACTAAGTTAAAGACAGTTTGCATTTCTGATCCTTGACTATCCATGACAAGTTGCTATCTAAAAATAAAAGTTGTATGTGTGTTTTTTGTTTGTTTGTTTTGTTTTGTTTCAAGACAGGGTTTCTCTGTGTAGCCCTGGCTGTCCTGGAACTCACTCTGTAGACCAGGCTGGCCTCGAACTCAGAAATCTGCCTGTCTTTGCCTCCCAAGTGCTGGGATTAAAGGTGTACACCACCACTGCCCAGCGGGTTTTTTTTTTTTTTTTAAGATTTATTTAATGTGTAAGGATGTTTTGCTTGGCTGTGTACCATATGTGTACTTGGTCTCAAGAGGTCAAAAGAGGGCAGTGGACGCCCAGAAATTGGAGTTATGAACAGTTGTGAGCCACCCTGTGGGTCTTGGGAATTAAACTAGGATCTTAGCAAGAACATGTGCTCTTAACCACTGAGCCATCTCTCTAGCCCCCAAATGCATTCTAATCTGGGTCTGTACTCTGAGACAAGGGATAAAGTTTGAGCGAAAGATTTGGGAAGCCTTAGGCAGTGAAAAATGCAGATGCTTACCCATGTATGATTCAGGCTACAAGTAAGCCAGTTAGCAAACCGTCATGAAAATAATGTCACCAAGGGATAGAGAGATAGCTCAGCAGTGAAGAACATCTCCCACTACACCCAAGAACCTGAGTTCGGGTCTCAGCCCCCACGTTGTGCAATTCACAACAGCCTGTAATCCCAGCTCCAAGGACTCCGTTACCCTCTTTAGGCTTTTCTGGGCTCCTACATGAATCTGGGCTCCTACATGTGCATGAATCACAGAATCTCATACACACATGAAACTTTTTTTTTTTTTTAAATGCTAACAAAAGCTCCAAATTCTCCTATGATGACTTTGGAGGCCCTCTGCCCCCATGAGTGTAAAATATTCAGTTATTCTAAACCCTGTTATGACATTCTGCAGTTCTAGGCACATGTTTCTGCAGGAGACAAGTCAGTCTGAATCGTAAACTGCATCGTGGAGCTAAAATTACCTCTCACCCCTCCCCCGCCCCAGGCTTCCAGCCACATTTTGAGAAGGGGTAAGACAACAGACGGAGACTCTGGGGAACAGAGCAACTAGGATGGAGAAAGGCATACTTAGTGACATGCAGCCCAGAGCTTGTCACCAAGGCTGCCTGGCTGCTACCCAGTTAACGCCTCGCCTTCTTCACCCCTGCCCACCACTGTCCCTCACTGACCAATTCACCATTCATATGAACCTCAGGAAAACATGTTCGTTAAGGAGAATGCTGGCAACAAAACCCAGCTTGGCCAACACCAGTGAGTTTGGGGGTGATCCACTGTGTCCTGTTTGACATCTGAAGCAATTGAAGGTGACTTTGTTCCTAGAACTGAGCCATGGAAGATGGGATACATAACATGTTCTAGGGACAAAGCCTTCTGTGGCTTCTAGACCCTCAAGAGAGGCAAAGCTATGGTGACTTCTCGGGCAGGCGCTCCCGGGGAGGCAGGAGTTGCTGACTTGGCATTTCTGTAATTAGTTCTCACACCTCTGTGCTGCAGCTGTGAATTCACTATGTGAATGCTAAGGCTGCCTGGTACATGCCTGAATGCATGTTGCCAGGGTACTCATGCTTTGGGAACACTGTGTTTGTGAGTACTGATGTTGCATGGTACTAGTGCTAAGTGAGTACTGATGTTGTGGGAGTACTCCTGCTGTATCATGGGTACTGAGCACTGAGGTTGTAGGAGTACTCTTGCTGCATCACGGGTACTGTTGCTACGTAAGTACTGATGCTTCATGGGTACTGTCAGTGAAAGGGTGCTCATGCTATGTGACTCAGCGCTGATTCTGTGAATACTAAGGGGCCTGTGTGAGCACTAACATTGCATGGGTACCAGTACCATGTAAGTACTTATTCTGAGTACTGATGCTATGTGAAAGAGGGAGCTGATGCCCAGTGAGTACTACTGGTGTGCAGGTACTGGTACTATGTACTGAGTGCTGATGCTGAATGCAGAAACAGGGTTTATGCGGATGCAGGTCTGGTGGGGTTTTAGCTCAGATCTGCCTGACTTTCTGATGTCCACCCTGGCACTTAACCTGCACTTGCTCTGGAGCTCCCGGAGGAGAATGAGAGCCCTACCCTGCCCCACAGTGAGACAAATACCCCTCAGCCATTGGCTAACTTATGTCCCCTCCTTTCCATCCCACCCTTCCTCTTCACCTTCCTGCAGTCTAAGCTTCTCCCCCTTGCAACCTCCAAGTACCATCTTCACCAGGAGGGTAGAACCCACAGTGGACAGTTCCTCCAGTCAATTAGCCTGGGGTTCAAGGCAGCACAATGTGAGCCTCTTTGTGTGTGTGTGTGTGTGTGTGTGTGTCTGTCTGTCTGTTTGCCCAGCTGCTTACCAAGAACAAAAGACAGGCAGGAGGGGTCCATATGCAGAGGCCAGGCTAATACCCTGAGGCTGGAGGCTGGGGGTGATGGTGATGGTCATGGCAGTAGTGGTTGTATGTGTGTGGTGTGGTGGGTGGGGAGGTTGTCTCTCTTCTGGAAGGGTCTGGAGGTGTAGAGAACAAGGTTAGATCTTTCTACTAGTGTCCTGTCTTGAAGAGTTTGCCAGCATCTCCAAGGCAACTAGAACTTTGGCTAGCCCTAGGCTTACACATTTGGGAGGAGTCCCGGATCGTGGTGTGCCACTTCTACAATGCACGAGCCTCTGGGGTCAGAGGTGGTGGCATGGCCCTTGCTAGTAAAGCATGTTTGTAACCGCCACTGGTGGGCTTTCAGCCTTGGTGGACCGGTCTGCAAAATGGTAGCTTGTTACCTATCAGGCAAAAAGGAGCCAAAGCGGCGGGAGTAGAATAAATTATATTATTGGGGAGAAAGGCTGGGGCAGGGACAGAGCCCCCTTGGGAGGCTCCAGGGATTGGAGACTGCCTCAGTGATGTCACTAGAATGGGACAGCCTCCCCTGCTAGCCAACCATGGGCGGGGTCTGGTTTGGGGATGGGGTGGGTCTTCCAGGCCCAAATCTAAAAGCCCATTTAGCTATACCATCTCAGGCCAGCAGCTGGTATCTCATGAGCACCCACTGGATGCCTGGCCCGCTGGGACAGCAGCTCTGACAGATGGGAAGGCTGGAAGTGGGGGTGGGGGTACTCAGGAGGTGGGGTCTGAGCTTTTGACTAGTCCCTCCTCCAGCTCCCCCGGGGTCAAGGAAGAAGGGGAGGATCTTTGCCTCAGACTAACAGGACAGTTCCCGCCTCCACCTCCCTGAACATCTGTTTCTTTTCAGGGTGGGGGAGGGGTGAGAAGAAAGACTGTGAGGGGAGCCAGGGGCTCCGATTGTAGCTTTCAGCCCTCTCTCAGTAACTGAATGCGGCGTCCCAGGAGCAGGCAAGCACAAAGGGGGCTTTCAGGGACCATCCTGCCAGACCATCAAGCGGCTGCTTCAGTTCCCTGGGCTCTTAACAGCTCCTCAAAGCCCACTCAATCAGCAATTACTCAGTCACAGGAGCGGGAGGACAAACGACAGGCTGGGGGACAGGAGTGGGGGAGGGACGCAGAAGGAAGGCCAATTCTAGAGAAAAGGCTGAAATCCCAAAGAGAAGAAAGAGCTCTTTGCTTGTTCGCTCATCTACTGTACCAGACCAGGCTGGTAAATGCCTCAGGGCATGTAAGAGACAGGTTTGAGATCTGGGACTAGGTAGGTGGTGTGTGTGTGTGTATCCCTGTTCTTATTTTGAGGACTTCAGAGAGTAAGAGAACCCCCTCTCTCATCTGGGGTCCAAGGGGATCTGTCCTGCCTGGCCACATTCTGGACACAGTGCTCTGGCCCCGCCCCTTGGATATGCTAATCTTTGGGGCGGAGTCACCACCTTCTGCAGGCGTTGGGGACTGGAGTTGGAGAGGTTGCTAAGGGGTCCCTGAGAATCTTCAGAGGACTTCACTGATGTCCCTGTGAGGGGTCATTTTCAGAACTTTGGGCTCTCCGTGTAAAAACAGCTTGAAAAATGTCAGCCTAGGCAGCCTAGCTGTCTGTCTAGAATGTCTGTGGTCAAGGGCCTTGGGGAGGTTCCTGAGGGAGGTTTGGGATGGATGCTGTCCCCAGAGTCATCAGGACAGAATGAGCCCTGGTAACCTGCTCTCTTGAGCTCTGTAACCAAGAGCTTAATGTTGGTCATCTCTGAGTATCTGAATCTCCCAATGCCTTATGGGACATCAACTCATTACAGTGGTAGGGCTGTTGGGCTCTAAATGAGATGCATAAAACATGAGGTTTGCCATGGATAAGGTACTGACCAACTTCTCTGTCCTGTGGCATCTTTCTCTTTGGACTAAGGAGAGTGAGAGACAGACAGGGCTTTAGCTCAGCCTGTTCCAGGGATGGCCCAACCTCATGGACAAGAAACAAAACGGACAAAAAGATGAGAAACCGTCAGCAGACGGAGGCCTTACGGGAAGGGTATGGTGTACCTGACTCGGACTAGCACACACCAAATGAGTACCCACATCTTCCAGGAGCGCCCCCTCCCCCTGTCACCTGCCTTTGGGTAGTAACCTTTCCCTCAAGTCTCTTCAGTGGCTCAACTTGCTCAAACATCAGGAAACAGAACGAAGTTTGGACAGCCTTTTCTTCCTACAGTTAGCCTTTATGGTTCCATGATATTTGAGAATCGAGACGTGTGATTATTACAGGTAGCCGTCTCCGACAGACCATAATAAGATGTCACAAAGCATCTACTGCCTACTGCTGCAGCTAATACCGTAGACGTATCTGGTGCTAGATATCAAACCTGGGATCCCCTAAACCTACCACTACCCCTAACCCTGTTAATATACAGGCAATGCCACTGGCTTGCTCTCAGGGACCTAGCAACTGATTATATCATCATTTAGCCAGGTGTGCTAGGCATATGCTGCAGACAGAAGGACCCGCCCCCCACCCCAGACTCTGCCTGCATGATCGCTTTCTCTCTCTGCCTGTTCGCACTCCCATCTGCCTCTCTGCATGGCAATTTCTCTGGCCCCGTTCTTTGAGACCACTGAACCGGCCCAAGAGCTGCCTCCAATAAACCCGCTTCTATATTTTTAATCCAGCTTGAATTGGCTTATTTTGTTTAGTGGAGAAAACCTATTATCTGGTATCATGCAGGAGTATGGACCAATGGTTGTTGAGTGTGTTCCCCTGAATGTGTTCCTCAAGGAAGGAAGCAGTGGATCCAAGAATGAGTTCCACAGAGATGGGAAGTCAACACTTATTCCTTCGACATGCCTGGTCCGAGTAAAGAACTCTGAAAGGTACAACAGGGAGCTGGGGGGTCTGGATTTCTGAAGTGTGTATGACCGCTGCCCTCCATACCACCACCACTGTTTCTTATTGTTTTAACCTAGAAATGATCATAATGCCATCAGTACTTCCCAGGGATTTAGAGTGTCATGTACCCATAATTCTTAGGGGCTATCCTGACTCCTAGTCCTTAATAAATAGATGTGATTGGTCCCGCTTTTCCCCATAGATTTGATTTAAAAAAAAATGAGCTTGAAGCTGGTCAACCATGATCCCGCTAGGACCTGGATATTAAAATTGGAAGACATCGGCTGTGGGCTTAGTGTTTCTTTTCCATCGAGTGTATGTGTGTGCTAAATATACATATTTTTTTCCCCTGCTAAACTTGTGCTGTTATTTTGAAAATGAGTTGGAATGCAGCCAGGCTGCATTTTTAGACATTTCACCAAACAAGCCACAAAGTTCTTTGGGTGTGCCTTTCCTGTGCTGGGATGGGGGATGCTATCTCTAGTACCTCTTGAGGCACAGTTCTGGGTCCTTGGGAGGAACCAGCCTCTGCCTCTATCCCTTCACCCACAGCCCTCTGGGGTCCTTTCTCACGCTGTATCTTATCATATATGTTTATTTTAAAATCAAATTGACATTTTGTTTGTGACTATCTCACAGGATAGAGGCTGGACAGACTTGTATCAGTTTGGAGAATGAGATTTGGGTGGCCTGACTCAGAATATAAACCAGGCTGCATATGCACACTCCTGCACAGAGGACCTGGGGGGGGGACCCCCCTCAAAGAGGCAGTGATTCTCTCAGAGCCACTGACACTGAGGGGGAATGGTTGCCAATCCTCAGGGACCTGCATTTGTCATCTGCCTAGGACGGCCATCAGGGAGGATACATCACACTCCAAACCCTGACTGATAATCCAGAGAGCTCCGGCAGGGCTGAGTGCAGCAAGGGTGTCTGAGGGAAAAGGTCAGCTGCTCTACCTCCAGATGTAACCCTGCAGATCCCAAGAAGCTCCTGGATGTGTGTGTCAGAGCCGTGTCTCTGTCACCTCCATGTTCTGAGAAAGGCTCAGGAAACAGGCCAGAGGCCAATGATATAGTTCAGGGGTAAAGTTGTCATCTTGCAAGTGGGGGACTTGGTGTTCTATTCCCAGGACCAGAGAGAGATAGGGGGAGGGAGAGACAGGAAGATTTGAGAGAAGTCAGAGACAGCTTCTCCCTGTGACTCTGCTGGCACTGTCCTAAGCCCTGGAATGATGTAGAAACACAGTTCCCATGGTCATCAAGCCTAGGAGTGCAGAAGAAAGCCATCTAGAATTAGGGTCCTGTGTTCCTGGTAATTACAGAGCGGTGAAGCTGCCTGCCTGGGGTCCCTTTGGTGACACTTAAGAGATCTGGGATGTGGCTATTTACCAACAGCTAGGCAAGCACTTTAATGACAATATAGAATGCAAGTATCACACTGGGAATAGGGACCCTGCTCACACCAGTGTCTTCTCAGTGTTTTCCCAGGCACTGCCATCTCTGAGATGCTAGGGTCCTAGTGAACCTGGAATCTGGGTTCTCTGTAGTGGTCCTAAAACTAAATGTTTGTTTTTCAATAATACTATTACAGCTGAAGGACCCAATTCCCACTTCGTACCTTTTCCAGAGCCCCTGAAGAGTCAGGTACCACATGGCTCAACTTCATCCTGCTCAGTGTCTGTACCACACTACCTCCCGTGTGTGTGTGTGTGTGTGTGTGTGTGTGTGTGTGTGTGTGTGTGAAGGGCTACTAAAAACCCTCCCAGTGAGAGTCACTAAGAGACAGAGTGAACTCTATGGAGGTCTTAGGCATCATATCACACAGCCAAGTGTTATCTTTCACATGAACACATCCCCTACAACAGCCCTCTGGAGAGATAGGACTATCATCTGAATGTGTGTCCAAAGCTGTGTAGGGGTTGGGAGGGTGTGAAGTGGGTAGGAGTATTGAGAGGGATGGGAATAATTTTAGTGCCTAGAACACGTATTGTCTTTAGTCTTTAAATGTGGATTTGACTTTTCTCCTTTCTTCTTCTTCTTCTTCTTCTTCTTCTTCTTCTTCTTCTTCTTCTTCTTCTTCTTCTTCTTCTTCTTCTTCTTC